CGGTCCGAAGTCGCAACCTCGTTGGTAACAGTTTCTTTCGGCTGTTTATAACTGTCGGGCGTATAATGGTTCTGGTCGCTCCAGTATCCACCAACAACGTATGCTTTTTACCATTTATTTCTCCATCTACATATACACTATCTTCACGACATTTCAAAGAAGCTATTAGTATTAGAGGGTCTTTGGTAAAGTTCTGGGTCGAAGCTGCTCCCCTAAGGCCGACGCGTTCTGGTTTTGTCTTTGGTCTTATGGTCTTCGTTTTCTTGTGTGTCATGCTTTTTATCATATTAAAGAGCTGGTCAAGTTTATCTTCATCTCCTTCCTCTTTTACAGTCCTAACTTTGCTATACCCGCCAGAGGCCTGCGTGGCTGACTCGTATTCAAGAGCGGCGGATAAGACATCAACCAGCGTCTTGTGACGAGCTAATCGTAGTGTTCTTTGCATCTCATGATCACGAAGACCATCAATAAACGTTTGAACGGCCAACTTTTCCATCATGTCTTCGGGAGCTGTTGGATAAGCATATCGCACTAATCTGGCGATTATCTACTTCATATTCTTGAAGAGCCTCATCTTTCTTTTGTCTTCGATTTTTGAGCTGCGACTGATATACATGCTCCAAGTGTTCGTGGCCATATCGCATATTTAACCTCTTCTTCAGTTGTTCGAAATCATCCGTCTCCTCTACGGCTATGGTCTGGAGCACATCTAAGGCATCTCCTCGAAGAGCGATAGTCAGGTTTACAGCCTTTTCTTTTTCAGACCATCCGTTCGCTCTTGCAGCTGATTCGAACTGTTTCATGTAGTTGTTCCATGATGATTTTCCGTCGAAAGTTGGGACTTTGACATGAACGGAACTTCCACTTCCTTCAAATTTCGGCCGTGTTTCCAACTTACATTTCGTCTCGTCTTCTTTTATCTCTACCGGATCTAAAGCTACCGTATTAATTGGTGGTAGCACTCTCGTGTTAGTTATCATGGTCTCTAACTGTTTGATTTTCTCTTCAACTTTATCAAATGTTTTAGAGACTTCTTCAAATTTCTCATTATTCTTTTTAGAAGTTTCTTCCCATCATTTGAGAAACATTTTCAAATTTCTCGTCGAATCTTCTAGACACATTTTCGAGTTTCTCGTCGTTTTGTCTACCTACTTCTTTAATAATTTGAGACGTTTCATCCAATCTTTTGGAAACCGTATCGAACTTAATATCATTTTTCTTAGAAGTTTCTTCTATCTTTATTAAAACTGCTTCTTCTGCTGATTGAAAATGGAATGTCTCTGGGTCATCTCCATTCTTGTTAAGAACATTCTTTAGTCGTTCTTGGAGGATCTTCTTGGACCCGCTGCAGTCTTCATCGCGTTCTTCAAGTTGCTCACGCAACTGTTTTACTGAAAGTTGTACTAGCAGCATCTTTGGTCGGCACACACGTACTTTTTAAATGTTCTTTCGTACAACGATCACTACTGAACTACGCGGATGTTCCCGACGAACAATACCTTTCAAAAGTTCAAAAGTCTTTTTCAAAAATCAAATTAAATTTATCTACAATCCCACTTCTGACACCACTGTGAGTTTTTTATTGTTCTAATTTATTTGTCTTTATTCTAATTTATTGTCTATATTCTAATTTATTAAAACTCACGATAACTAATTACGAATTTATTAAAGTCTTTATTAATTCTAATTTATATTACAAATAATTATTTATGTTTCGTTACATTTAAATATCGCGGTTGCCGAGCTTCTTATGACTGACTGCCAAATAAAAATCTTTCATTTATATACACAACTGTGTCATCTAGAGAATTCGGCGGACTTCCTGAATAGTCTCGTATTTTGGTGAAGGCGCTCGACTCGTTTTTCAACCTCGAGACGTGGATGACTCACTAAAATTAGTGTCTAGAGATTTCTGGTAAACAACTGGTAGCTAAGCTCAGGTATATTTTGACCTACAAATTACGAGAATCAATAAAAAAGAATTAGTCATAAAATATTTACAGTTCTATATGCCATAACATTTAAAATCGTACAATACCTTAATTGCTGAATAACAACTTTTAATATATACTATAATATTTAATATTTAATAATATAAATACACATAAAAACTGCAGGTACCTTGTAAAGTATTTCTGACTCATTGATTTAGACTTATTACATAGCTAAGAAATATGTTTAGTTTTTAGTTAAGTTTCAGAAATAATCAAGAACAATATAATTTTGCTCTAGATGTTAGATAGAATTAAGTAAATACTTAGCGTTATCTTTATTTAAACTTCAGAATTTAAATTAAGGAACTCAGCTTATTCAGTTGGTTGAGTGAATCAAGTAGCTTAACAGTCCTTAGCTTGGATAAATGAAGAGGTTTGGACAGGGGGTAGCAACTCCGTCGAACTGAATTCAAGACGAAGTCTAAGTATCAACAATGATGAACCAAGAACAGTGATTTAAAAATAAAAATTTAGAAAACAAAAACTATGTATGAAAAAGTGAGACTGAAGGTTTTTTAAAATCAGCTTAAAAAGAATCAAATATATATTGCAGAAATACAACAGATACGATGAAAGAAACACCTTCAAATGAACCTATACCTAATACGCCTACTGAGAAACAACAACTATGAGGTGAAATATCAATTCTATGAAGACCATGGCAGAGCAAAATAATAAATATATCAAAATGCGTATTAGTGACATAAAATCCCAGATTGGAAAGAACACATGATACCAAGGTTATAATGGTAAACATAACCTTCAAAATCTAAATAATTAAAATGGATTAATATTAATTAAAGTCAAAGACATTGTAGTGGAAAGCATAGGTTCTAATTGTAAGAATATTCACAAATCAACTAGAATATTACCATCTGTGAACACCACATATCCACTCGATCATTTCACAAATATAGTAAACATCAGGAGGTGTGCATGTTGACTTTAAATCAAACAGAGGACTTGGACAACGCGCTGCCACGTAGCTTTTCAGCACTAAAATAAAGAATTCCAGGAAAGATTAAACAGTAGAGAAGCTATATTTATTAAATCAGTCCAGACCTTAGCAAACTTTCTAATACTCTGAACATAAACATTATTACAAGAATCAGGGTAATAACTATAATAATAGTAGCCTTTTTCATCAATAGTTGAGTAACCTGCAAGAGGTCAATATTTCTGACAGTGCTGGGTTCCTAAATACCTCCTCAGAAAGACAACGACCTGTTTGGCCGCGAGTCGGACCTCCGTGCCCTTCGTTACTCTAATGTGGCCACTAGCTAAACTTATCCCTCTTATATCAGGGCATCTTGGTGAAACCGTCTGTTTGGATATAACTTCGCCCCAATGACCTTTCTTTGCCCAATTCTCTGTCTCTCACCATCACACATCACCTTCCGACGCTTCCGTCTGGCGCTTATCCTATCATCACGTCTACTACGGCTTAGCCAGGTTTTTTTCTTCGCATCCATCCCTTAACATGTATTCCATCCGCCATTATTTCGGTATTATCGCAAACCTACCTCCGACGGGAGGCAGGGCTGCGATGAGCTTTTTCGTGCTCTCTTGTTCTTCGTAGGTATGCAGCTCAGTCGTCACTCCCCTCATTTCAATTGATCTGCCACTCTCTCATGTCTGTCGCCTGTTGCCATAACTGACTTCCTTGCTTTCTTGTACGTACTCGCAGTTACATCTGTGTTGTCGACACTCCTTCTTTCCCTCTCTTCCCCTACGAGCCCAGTTCTGCCTTGCCTCCTCGATTCTTGGTAGAACAGCATCTAGCTTCCGCTTTTCCTTATTTTTAGTCGACACCTATCTTTCATCTCCCTCACTCTCTTCTGCCATCTTTCTTTCTTCATCTTCTTTTAATTTCTTTCTCTCTCCCATCTGTCACGCTCCAGAAGGCTATGTGACACAGTGTTTAAAGTCAGCTGTCAGCATCGGCGTCATATAGTAATCTAAACGCCTGTACCCATAGTTCAGATAGCTCTGCAGATTTGGAAACAGTGACTTTGTCCATTTTGTCCCATCTGCCGTTGCATTCCACTCGTCTTGCCACATCGCAATGGATGTGTTCCTCTCCTAGCTTCTAGCATTCTCTCCTTGTATCTCCTCTGTAAGGGAACAAAACCGGTGATCACCCACAGAGCCGCAGCAGATATAGTCCTGTAGATATTTGCTACCCGCAGCGGACTAGTTTTGTCCACGCGTACCAAGAGCCCCTTGTACGCGGGCGTTTCCACCGCCTAGTAGTAGTAGTAAATTAGTGGCAGCAGAAACAATTAAACTACATATAATCCAAAGTAAAACAAGTTTATGCCAACTAAAAAAAGCTGCGAATGCACATCTCACATAATGACCAGAATTTCGCAGCTATTAGAGAGATCATTTATTTGGATACAGCAACATTGGGAGAAATAAATAAACATATCTAGCTTGTAAACGTCTATCTCAAAAATAAGATTAAGACTGAATAAGATGCTGATAGAATCGATTGTAGCATATAGATGAGATGCATGGTTCCTAACTGATAAATTTTCTCAATCTTCAAAAAGAAATACCGTACGCAAAATCTTTTTGAAGCGGTTTGTGAAAACAGAACATAGTGCGCAGATTCAACTTTGAGCTGCAGAACATTTTACAAGTGTAAGTTCTGTAGAAAAGATATTATTACGGCCATTAGATAGGTCACGTGGGAAGCTATTCAAGAGCCGTTAAACATTAACGGATTCATATCCGTTTTGTTTATATCTTTCCTTGCAACCATTGAGACATATGCGTCTGTGTTTTTCCAGACGTTCTTAGTTAGTCTGTTAGATTTATCGGTAAATACCAGAAGTGTAGTTATAAAGTCAATATCAGTATTTATTTTTGATTAATTTGCAGAACCAGAAGTATTTTTTATTAATATTCATTTGTCATCTTCTTGTTAAAAAACTAAACATATCGATAATGTACTTGTATTCCTAAAATACTAAGTATAACTTAGAAAACTAATAATTTCAGACCTTCCGCAAAAAAAGGATTATGCTGTTACATCAAACCATCAACAATAACCGTATCTGTGATTTTTATATGCCATGATGGGTCTATCTTCTATATCCGAAAATGTTGACCGAACCCCCAAAGGATCTCCAAAAAATTCTAGTGTTATAGAAGGCATACAGCTCGAAGATCTGCAGTATATAGACGAGAATGAAAACATTAGTTCCACGGAAGGTGGAGACAATGACAAACATGATAGTATTCCCAATGGAAAGTAAGTAGTAATAAGATCAAATGACTAACCATATGTGAAAGACGTCAGACTAGTTGTGGTGTCATACTGACATGTTTTGTTGAGGTTTTGATTTTTAACAGATTGAGTTGTTTTTACTATTCCCACAACAGTTTATATTTAACTCTTTTTGTATCAATATTGATAATGTTTATTGCAATAAACTTTAGGATATGACGGTAAAAATAGTAGAAAACCTCTGAATTTTTTTTAAACCTCTGAATTAGTTAAAAAACAGCTCAAAGATCAAAATCCATCTTAAAGCAATATGGACTTTTTCTCTGGAGGTAGTTATTACTTCAACACAACAATGCAAAAAGTTTATCAAAAAAATATGGTAGTCGATAGAATAGTGAATTTTAAGACAAAGGAGTTTTTTCAAAAAGCCAATATATTTGTTGGAGTTTTTGTGACTTAATTCCCAAATTAAACGTCAAAAAACATGTTTTTAAACGGTTTTTCGTCAATAAATCCTAACTAGATTTTATCGAAAAAAATACACACATATGATGTTGAATAAGCGCAAAACATTAAGTATTTTATGAAAAACTTATACATGGATAGTAAATCTGCAACACGGGTTCTATCGCATTTTCCATGTAAAATTCCATAAGAAAACGCTAAGGTTGATTCTGGTCATTTTTGTTTATTTTTGTGATGGGAGTTGAACGACTCCTCGGATCGTGAACTAAAGAGTATCGCTGGAAAGGGAGGGGATGACGAATATGTTGTATCTAAATCGTATCTTCGTTGTTATTAATTTGATCGTGATGTAGGTACTAGGCATCAAATGAAAGGGGACTAGGCGTCGTATGTAGCAAAGAAAAAACTAACATGATAGAAATGCCAAAGAAGCACTATGTACAAAAAGGGTGTACATATGTGGGAAACACTTAGAGAAAAAGCATAATATTGGCATATGACTTTGATCTTTGGTCTAATTTCTACCTACTGTCAAAATTTCAAGCAAATTTATGTATATAAACAGAATTCTGAGCAGAAAACCGTCATATCCTGGACTATTAAGATTTTTTCGAAAAATTGCTAATAGGATCATGCTGATAGGATGTCTCGAATAAGCAATTACGCTAACTCTTTTGAATGTGTCTTCTCGTTCTAGTCTCTTGTTTATTTTTATACTGATTTTATTTTCTGTTTTTTCTTTTTATAGAAAATTTTCCAAATATTTGCAGATTTCTACATTATCTACAGATTGTTTTCTTTATTTTTACAACTTTCTCGTAGCCTAGCTAAGGTCTAATTCATCTTCTGTAGTATGTATTATACATCGAGGAGTACGGCAAGAAAACACCGTCTCTCCAAAGGTATTCACTACGCTTTTAGAACATACTTGTAAGAAGGCACATCTTAATGAACAATGTATCAACATAAATGAAGAGAAGCTCAGTCATTTGAGATTTGCAGATGATATCGTCCTTATAGCCGATCGTATGGATGATGTAATAATAATGTTTGAAAAATTATATGACGCTTCCTTGGAGGTCGGACTAAACATTAATATGAACAAGACACACATAATGACTAATCTGGTGCTAACTCGAAGTATTGCTGTTGATGGAAAAGATATTGTGCAGACTACATCGTATAAGTACTAAGGCCATTTGATTCGTTTGGGTAGAGATAACCAGACCTGTGAGCTCCCAAGTCGCATATGATTAGCCTGGGCAGCGTTCGGTGAATTAAACTATGTATTTAAATCGGATTTACCCATATGCCTTAACTCTTTGAGCCGCCATGGTACACGCGATGTACTACCTTTTTCGTTATTGTTAAGCGGCGGTGGTCTTATAAATGTAACAGCTTTTTAAATCGGTGTCGCTTTACATTGCAGTGTAATATTTTTTTGCATGAATACTTTTGCTCCTCAAATAGTTAAAAGGATAATCTTTGACGAATGTGTGTTACCTGTACTCACTTATGGAGCGAAAACATTAACGCTCAAAGGATAGTGAATAAGATTCGCGTGACTCAGGGGCTATGGAGCGCCAGATGTTGGATGTGTCTCTGAGAGAGCGAATCTCAAACGAAGAAATACGTCGTAGAAAAAAACAACAAATTCCATCAAAAAAATTGCGTCGCTAAAATGGAATTGGGCAAGACACGTCGCAAGATTATCAGACAACCGATGAACAAAATATATTGTCGAGTGGAGACCAAGACAAGAAGCAATACGGGGCAGAAGACGCCAACCAAATAGATGGACTGAAGATCTGAAGCGTGTAAGCAATAACTTAATGAAAGCCGCACAAGACAGAGACAGATGGAAAGAGCTGAGGGAGACTCATGTACAGCAGTGGACGCATATAGGTTAATGATGATGATGATAATGATAAGTATTTATTTGATCATCTACAAGAATATTGTAAAAAGCAGTTAGTTTTCCCAAAGTTATTATCATACTTCGATATTTCAGTATTTTATTGATGTAGCATTTTGTATATCTATAATGAGCAATATATTTATTTTCAAATATTTCAGTTCCTTTTGTAGTTGTCAAAACTGTGCATTGTCATATACATTCTGAAGATAATTTTTTGTGGAATTTTACGTTTTAACTACTATATTCAGTGGAGACAAATTTGTGGTTTAATCTTTACATTTAATTAAACCACAAATTTATTTTATTTTATAAATAAAATTTGTGGTTTATATCATACGCAATTTCAAGATCTATTAAAACTATATAGGTATCTCTGTTTATCTGTACTAGGATTTGAATATGTTTAAAACAAAATGTTGTGGGATAGCTTCGATATTTCGATTAATTTGGAATCAAAATGACAACAAAATAATCCATTAATGTGTGTTATTATACCTTCTACTAAAACGCATGCTATACTTTTAGCCAAAAGTTATCTACTTCAAATGTGTGTTTTTATTTGAAATATTTGCCTTGTATGTAGGTAATAAATCAAACAAAAAATAGTATAAAAATAATATGCAAAACAAGCAATCCGCTTACCGATGATCATCCCTCTTCAATCCTTGCACACAACCTTTCCTCAGTCCTTCATCGTACATGAGCTCGTGATATTTGATTGATTGTGATTGACCATTGAACAATATTTTGAAAGTTATGAGATGCTTCTAGACGGAAGAGTTCTGTGAATTTTTTAATCTGATCAGACCACCGTAAATTAGATCTTTACTCTTGATCTTCTGTCTTCGACGATCAGTATTTCCATGTCCTCTTTCCTTCTAGTGATATAACCAAAGTGCCACATTTATGTTCTTTTTTTTTAATAAGTCTGGTATCAATATTTAGTTCTAGAACCACAGACTCATTTGTTTAATGTGCTGTCCATGGAATTCATAATATGCCCCTGTATACTTATATATCAAAGGCGTAGTTACGTTTGAGTCAGCTTTCTTGATAATCTACGCTTCAGAGACAGTTTTGCAATAGGGAACATCAGTGCACATGCAACAATTAGTTTTGCGGCTTTAGTTATGTCGGTGTCTTTCAAGATATTCGTCAGTCGAGCTATAGCAGCTGTCCCAGGTCACAGTCTTAGTTTTTCTTCACACCCGCCATTATCAGTTGGACAGTTTGTGAGGTTGGCGCGAACATTTCTTACTGGATGTTTTTTATTGGAGGATGGAACGGACGATATTTTCTTTATTAGAGATCTCCATGTCGAAAGTAACCGTATGTCGCCATCTCTTTTATTAAGATAATTTGGCCTTTTTTAATGTCAATGAGTCTCCCACTGAATCTCAACCCAAAGACTCAGCCTATTATCATATGAAAGCTTTTATTTCTTACATCAACGGTGTCAATGACAAAATCGACAAGATTCTTAAATCAAGAGGAATAAAGACTATATTGACCCCCCAACAAAAACTTTTATCTTGTGTCCGATCAATTAAAGACAACATTCCAAATGAACAACACGGAATTTCTGAAAGTCCTTGTGCAGACTGCCCCCGATCTTATATATGCCAAACAAATCGTCAAATCCAAAATAGGATTTGTAAACAGTCCATGTCTGTTCGCATTTCCGATTCAATTTCAGCTCTATGTCAATATCATCTTCATACAGGTCATAAAATTGATTTTGAAAACTGCAGAACTATAGCCCTATCCGCTTATATAAACCAAGAATTATCCGAGAAACCATAGAAATTGAAAAAAGGCCAAATTGTCTTAATAAAAGAGATGACGGCATCCGGTTACCTTCGATAAGGAGACCTATCATAAAGAAAATATCGTCCACTACAACTTCCAATTAACATCCTGTCGTCAGATATCTTCGCACCACCTCCCGCGCCAATTTCGTGCCAATCCCCTCGCTAACAATCGACATTTTCTTTTATTTTTATTTGCATAATCATAGTTAATAGGGAGATTCTAGATAAATTTGGATTTCATTATCTATATTAATACGTCCATCTGCAGAAAAAGGCTGGAAACCCGTTTTAAGATGTTCAGCGAAAATGTTGGCTTTCTCTTTATTGCTTTTTGCCCATGCGTTATCTTCAGTGCGGATTAAAGGACGTTCTATTTGCCTGGTTGCTTTCCAGAATGAATACTCTGTAGCTTCTGTAGGAAAAAGATGTCTGAGATAAGGATGTATACCATTGTTTTCGTGGTTAATAACGCTTTTAACTGTAATATAGCTCTATTCAGATTGGTCTTATCTTGTGGTGCTCTCGTCAGCGGCCATCTACGTCTTAATATTCGTTTCTCAATAATTTTTTGTTTTATTTTGATTTTATTGGGTCTTCTTCTTAATTTGCCCCATCCCTAAGGACATTGGCGATCATCATGGCCCATTTGACTCTATCTGCGGCCGTTCTGAAAATTTCTATTGACGTTTTTCCACTCCATTGTATTCTTCAACCAGGACGTGCGTCTTCTCCCCGGTCATCTTTTGCCTTCCACCTTCCCTTGTATGACCAGCCGCATCAATTTGTATTTCTTATTTATTGGGCAGTTCATTTATATCCTTGTTAATTCC